GCAGCCAGACCTCCTTTCTAGACACCTACTGTGAGTTGGGCTGCACAGGCATGGCCCAGTCCTGAGGACTGGCCTCTCTTCCAACCCTGCTCTCATCGTCCACACTCCCGGACTCAGTTTCTCCCTCTGCTACTGCCTTTTCTCTGTCAGCTCCTTCCCCATTGTCTCCTGCTCACTCTTTCATCATGGGATGGGGGCTGGGGTTGCCATTTTCTTTGGTGTTGTCTTTGCTGCCCTCAGTCAGTTCCATCTCCTCCTCCCTCTCTTGCTGTCTGTGGAGAGGATTTAGTCAGGCTGCTTGACATTTTTTTTTTAAACATAAAACCTTTTATTTTAACTGCTGCTAGCTAAATATACTTTGACCTCAGCAGTGGCCTGCATGGCTGCACTCAGCCAGTGAGACCAAGTCATGCCAAAGACTCATGCCAAAGGCATCTTTCTCTTTCACTTTGGATAGAGATTATCCGCTGCAGACTGGAAAGGGTCGTTTGCACACTGACGGTTGCTTTGCAGTGCAGTTTGGACTTGGGGTTTGGTCAGCAGGGGTTTAGATGTATAGGTGCATAGACGCCCCTTCCGTGAAGGCACCCCGGACTCCCAGAATTGGCCTGTGGCATGCCACCTTTATTTAGGAACCCTAGGAAGTGGTTCACATAGTTCTTCTGTCTCCCGGAGAGACTTGGATGAACTTTGAATAACCACAGCCCAGGGCAGCTTCTTAATGATTAGACAGAAGAGAGGGAAAGAAAGTCAAGTCTCCTACAGGATATTATAGACAGCGTCACTTTCCCATTCCAGAAAACAGACTTCTTTAAAAGTATTTCAGTCTCTAGGCTCCTGGCCATGCCATGTCATACCCACCTGGACCTACCCAATTCAGCTCAGGGTGAGAAAAGGGGCCAGAGGGAAGGACAGAATGATGTTTAGCTGACAAGCTTGGGCCTTTATCCAGCACCTACACAAACTTCCCTCTAATGCAGAGAGAGAGAGAAACAGACACACACACACATACACACACACAGAGAGAGAGAGAGACAGACACACACACACACACACACAGAGACAGAGAGAGAGAGAGAGAGAGAGAGAGAGAGAGAGAGAGAGATATCTCAGAGATGCTGTGGATCTAATGGCTTTCTTCACTTATCAAAATCTTAGTTTGTTTATTATATGTTTATGGAGGATCTACAATGTACATGACAGTAATTGAGAGAGCCATGGCAAGGCAGAAGACAGCAGGACAGATAATGGGGGGGAGACTCATCAATTCATTGCACACAAGATGAGGGTCTTTATTAGTTACTTTTCTTGTTTCAATGACAATACATCTGGCAGAAACAACTTAAAGGAGAAGGGTTTGCTCTGGCTCACAGTTCGAAGGTGCAACCCATGACAGTGGGGGAAGTCGTGGTAGCAGGAACACAAGCTACCTGTCACATGGTACTTGCAATCAGGAAGCAGGGAGGGATGAACGCTGACACTCAGTTGGCATTCTTCTTTTTATTCAGTCCAGGACCGCAACCCATAAACCATTGATGTCCACATTTAGGATGAATCTTCTCATTTCAATTAATTCAGTCTAGAAACTCCTTCACAAACATGCCCAGAGGTGTGTCTACCAGATGATTCTAGATCCTGCCAAGTTGACAATCGGCATTAAGTGCCATGGGCTCTCCAGAGGACATATAAGAGATAATGGAGACATTTAGAGAGTTGACCCAAGTTCCAGAGGGGAACAGTATGCAGAGGGCCTCCTTGATGCAGTATCTTTTAGTCTGCTGTGTAAGGTATGAATTGAAATCACAACAGGTGAAGTTAGGTATGGGGGTCGCCGTTCCATGCCACCCACCTCCCACGAGTTCCATATTGTCCTAGGGGTTAAAACACAAGACACACACACACACACACACACAGATACAAAGTTCCAGTCATCCTCAAGAAGAGAATGCCCAATTTATTCAACTTAATCCAGGGTTAAATACCTTTGGCCCCAGTAAAGGAAAACTCGTCCCACCCAGAGGGGCCTGAGGAAACTGGCCTCAGGCAGGTGGTCGAGGGTGCAAGGCAGTGTCAGACAGGTTAGATGGGCCTTGGCGCCTGAGCTTCTTCCAGGCAGGTTGAGAAATTACCATTTTAAAGTAAAATAGATCCCTCAGGCTATTGCACCAGGCTGTAGCAGAAGCAAGGACGGAATTTAACAGGAAGCTTAGCTGGTTAGGGGGAACATTACTTGCATACTGTGTTTTGGACTCAAGGAACAGGGAGGACAGGGCCTCACAGTTAGGAGATCTCTTTATCGGTAGAGGCAATTGCAGTGATGGGCATAGCAAAGATTGAGGCAGGTGCCATAAAGATTTTGGAAGGCTCTAGAGGGTAGGTAAAAGATTGGGAAATTCTGAAGAATGTTGAGCTGGACAGTAACATGACCAGAAAAACAGAGCTGTATATCTTGTTCAAGGAAGGATATAGGGGGGAATGAAAGCTCCTGTTCCTTTAAGAGATTGGCCAGGAGATGAGGGTGGATGGATTGCCCCAGAGAAGTCTCAAAGAAGGCACAGGGACTGGGGTATTTTTTTTTAAAAAAATCTGCTTTTGGGATGTGCCATTGATAGATGGATAGATGATCAGGAAATGAAGACACTCTGAACAGAGATCTGAGGAGGTGGAAGTGAACATTGTGGGTTGAAGTCTGGGGAGAAGAATTTCCCGGAAGAAGGGACAGCAACTGTGAATATGGAAAAGGGGGCTGCTTGGGATGCGTGACATGCATAACCCTGAAGAGTAGTATGGCTACTGCTAAATGAAAGACAGAGGCACAATGGCAAATGAGGTCTAAGACAAGAGTGGAGAGCCTGAGGTGAGGTTTGAAGATTGGTGCCAGCCTCTGAGGCTCACCTGTAGAAGCTAGCTCAATTCAGAAAATAACCAAATAAAACAATTATATTTTTATTTACTATATGGGGAAAACTCATGAAAGAGGAACAAGAAGCCCAAGCTCAGAACCACACAGAGAGAGGACACCTAGGCCCTGCGCTCTGGGTCCCAGAAAGCCACACCCTATCTTGGTTCCACCTCTTAAAGGTAATTGGCTGGCAAAGATTCCTCATCACCTTCCCCATTTGTCTAAATAAGAGCAATCCAAACCCAATACAAAACTATATACAATAGGAACATATATCAAGTATAAACTTACAGCCAACATAAATGATATTAAACAAGGAACACATGATAAATGTTTTAATAGACATTCTATTCCAAAGAGTCTAAGTCTTGCATCAGAAATAGGCTTGGCTAAACCATAAGAGGATGGTAACTACAAGTATCTAATCTTCAACCCCACCGAAGGCCTGAGAAGGGAGACTATATTACTTGAGCAGGCAGGAAATGCAATCAAGCAGCTTCGAAAGCGAGCAGTATATGACAAAGACAAATGGCACCTGAGCAATCACCCAAAGTCTCATTTGCGACATTGAAACAACCAACTTTGGTTAAGGCCTGTTTTGGCAAGGCTTGGCTGTCCTTTTTCTTATGTCCTGCTTATCCAGTCTAGATACCATGTACTTTGTCAGTGGTTGAGGCATGGGCAGTTCCTTGCCCAAAGGCCAATTGTGCCAAGAAGAAAACAAACTCCGAGTGGAGTGTCTTCGGTGCTCAGCATTCTCTTGGGAATAGATTGGTGCTATCAGGAGCAATCATGTCTCTTATCAACAGAACCCTAAGTTATTTAGATACCATGTTCTACAGATTCTTGAAGTGGTTGAAGATTACCTATCTAGGTAGAATACAATCTCTACGTACAGAGAGACATTTCATTGTATGGGCTGCTAAGCTAAACCAGCATATATGTTCTAAAGGTATCATGACTTCCAAATGTGGATCTAAGGATTTGTTGCTTTAGAAAAGAGATTCTTCTTTTGTTTCCATAGAGGATGAGAACCTGTGGACTGCTTCCAGACTAATATGGTTGGATGGACCTGCAACACATTTCCAATCAACAGTTGATTAGTTTCTGCATTACCTTGTGCTAGAGAACCTGGTAGACCCATATGGGATCGAATGTGTGTTATGTATAGAGGACAAAGCCTATTCCTGAGTATGTCTTGCGCTTGAATGAATAATGAAGCCAATTCTGTATCACGTGGTATAAATTAAGTGGTTTCAATATGCAAGACAACTCTTTCTGCATATTGTGAATCAGTAACTATATTGAGAGGTTCTTTAAAATCCCTTAGTATCATAAGAATAGCATATAATTCTGCCTTCTGGACAGAATTATAAGGGCTTTATTCCACCTTACTTAATTCTTTTGATTTGTAACTTGCTTTCCATGATTTATTTGCATCAGTATAAAATGCACAGGCTCCAGTTATTGGTACATCACCTACAATTCGGGTAAGAATTCAAGAAGTTCTCTTTATAAGGTTAAGTCTATCGCTTTTGGGATAATTGCTATTAATTTCTCCCAGAAAATTAATACAAGCTCTTTGCATGGTTCATTGTCTTCCCATAACTTTTTTTATTTCATTGGTAGTAAAAAGAGCTATAATCTCTATTGGGTCTATATAATTAATTCAGAGACTTCTTCCACATAGGTTTTTATTTTTTTCCTTAGTTTATGTGGTGAAAAGATCCATTCTAAGATAATATCATCCCTCTGCATTAAAATTTCTGGAAGGCAATACGACTAGAATACAATTAAGATTTGGATTTACTCTATCCTTATGTGCCTTTTGTATGCTTGATTCCCATTAATGAATAAAGAAACTGCTTTGGACCTATAGCAGGGCAGAACTTAGCTAGGCAGGGAAAACTAAACTGAATGCTGGGAGAAAAGAGACAGAGTCAAGAGAGAAGCCATGTAGCCCCGCCAGAGCCGGACGCTGGAACTTTACCTGGTAAGCCACAGCCATGTGGCAATACACAGATTAATAAAAATGGGTTAAATTAATATGTAAGAGTTAGCCAATAAGGAGCTAGAGCTAATAGGCCAAGCAGTGATTTAAATAATATGATTTCTGTGTGATTATTTTGGGTCTAAGTGACCGGGAATAAACGAACAGCCTCCTGCAACACTCACCTGCATGAACTGAAAGGGCCTGAGAAAATTCTAAACAGAAATGACCTATTTTAACACACACACACTTCATGTGTATGTGTATGTGTATGTGTATTTTATCTGCATATATGAGCACCATGTGCATGTCTGGTGCCTCAGAGGTCTGAAGAGGATAATATACAATTGCATATATTTTATGGATTCACCCATCCAAGGAGAGAGACAATACAAGAAATGGCCTAAGAACTGAGACTTCAGCCATATCCCCATTTAACAGTCATGAAAATGAGGAGACAAAACTGAGACATAGTCAGGAGAAGCAAGAGCAGGAGGCGTCGTGGAAGCGGGAAGAGGAAAGTAGTTCAAGGTGGAGGGCAGGAAATGAAAGTGGACTGTTTGGGCAGTATTCGCATCACTGGGTACCTTTCCAAGTTCATGTTCAAGAAGAGATGGGACTTAGAGCCTGATTAAAAATCTTCAAATGAAATGGATTGGTTGGTAGAATGTTTGTCTAGCACGTACATTGGGTTTGGTCCCCAGGGAAGCATAAGCCAGGAATGGTGGCACACACCTGTAATCTCAGAACTCAGAAGGTGGAGGCAGGAGGATTAGAAGTTCAAGGCTGCCTAGTGTATTTGAGGTCAACCTGGGCTCAGGAAATCCTGTCTCAAAAAGGGGGAAGGAGTTAGAGAAAGGTGCAACAGGCCGAGGGGAGGAACCAATGGTGTAAGTAGAGCCCCTGGGCCACAATATTACCTCATGAGGAGCCTGAGGTGAAAGCACTGGAAAGGAGAAGCTTTTGCAACACTGGGAAGGAAGAGACACTCCAGCATGCAACGCAGAATGGCAAAATTTATTCCAGATGCTTCTGTGAGTGAGAAACAACTTTGCTTACATCCTGAGATTGCCTGGCATTGGCCAGGACAGGACGGGGAAGAAAGTAGCCATGGTGGTCTTCAGTGCACACAGCAGAACAGTACTCTAGTTCTCCACCAGGCTGAGTGAGGGAGTCACCTTAGGATGCTTTTCAGAGAACCCCCGTGCATCCATCTTGAATGGGATGCAGTGATGTTTCCAAATGTCTTCCCTGTGATTATATCACCTGGGCCTCACTGAGAGCCTCTTATGGGTACTTCAGCTTTTCCATGGGCTTGACATTGAGTGAACAGGAGGGGCACTTGGAAGTAAAGGGGCCACAGGGAGGGTCAGCCCTGCTATCCAGAGGGCAATGGTTGCTGTTTCTGCTGAGGAATCTGTTGGCTGTCCCCAGAAAAGTCGTTCTCGTAACACTTACTGAAATGAAACCCCACATTAATTCTGCAGTTTTAAAAGATCATCTGGCAAAAGCAAGCTTTTTTCTGCTCTTACATTTTCGTTGCAGTATAATTTTACAGACCCTAGGTAGCTAATGAACTGAGCCTACTTTCAATGTACTGTATCCACAGAAGGTAGGGACACACAGTCATAGCCATAACAGTTTTGCATGCTGACAACTGACCTGAGTGATTCTAAGGGTCCTCTTGGGCTAGCCCTCCCATTCTGGATGTTAAGGATAGCCTGGGCAAGTGTGTGTGTGTTCATCCATCCATGTCCATAATTCTTTTTTTTTTCATATCCATAATTTTTTGTTCCTCTGGGAAACATCCTCTGTCTTTTCCACGCAGTTTGGGCTGTCAATCAAGTAGTTAACTCCACTTCCATCTGGAGGGATGTGATATAGACCTTCCCAGTAATAATAGTGCAATTTCTGGCATTGGTTCAAGAGGTAGGGGTTGCATTAGAAAAGCATCCACAGGCTTTTTTTTTTTTTTTTTTTAAATCTACTCTGTTGAGAGTGGTAGCTTTGACTTCCTTCAACTCTAGGCCTTTGAAGCTGGGTTGCAATTTCTTGCATCACACAGCATTTTAACAGAGATAGATTCCCGTGGCCTTCATGTGAGGCTGGCCGTGTGGGGTATGCACTGGAGAGTCAGGCAGGCGTGGTCAAAGAGTCTGTGAGGTAGCTGTCCCTGGGACGTCCAGGTGTCCGTCTCGGGGTCATAGCAGTCAAAGGAGGCTGAGTCCTCAATGTTGCAGTCTGTGGTCAGCCTCCGCCCACCTGTCACATACAGCTTGTTCCCCATCACTGTGGCCCCATGGTGCATCCTGCGGTCCTTCATGTCTGCACACTTGACAAATTTGTTGGACCGAGGGTCATACGCGAGAATCCTCCTCGTGTAACCTGAAAATGGAATAACACGAACAGCGGTGGGTGGCTCACCCGGGGCGGGGGGCCAGTGGTTGCAGCATGCTTCCTGATTCCTGCCTTCACAAGGGTGGGATTCTGGATCAAGGCCTGGGTGTTCAGGCACCCTGCTGAAGCCTGGCATGTGGAAGAACTGAGGCTGGCATCTGGATCTCTCTGGCTATGGTCCAAATTTAGGCAGCCATCTACGTTGTCTGTAGAGTAGGGGCAGATTCTGCCTTCCGGGGGCTTCTGCAGCCCGGTTGGCATTTTCATCTCTCCTACGTGGCCCAAGAGACATTGCCCTTCAGGAAAAGAGACCTTCTTTGGGAACATAGAAATGGAGTCCCATGGCAGGCAGTTATTTTAAGGGTTTCTATTTTACTGACAGGCAAACAAAGACATAGAAAGATGAATAACTTGCAAAGAGTTTATAATCACTTAATGATAGTCATTTAAACCCAGGTCTCTTTGACCCCTAAACCAGACCTCTTTATATATCTATATCTATATCTATCTATCTATCTATATAATGCATTGACAGATAAATGATGCATTGGTAGCCATTGTTATTATTATTATTATTATTATATTTTTTGAGACAAGATCTCACACTAGTTTGGTCTGGCACTCACTCTGTAATACAGACTGACTTCTGAGTTAGTTAGTGACAATCCTCCTGTCTCAGCCTCCCAAATGCTCAAATTATAGGTGTGAGCCACTACACCTAGCTAATCTTAACTCCAGGAAACCTCTCTTCTTCACTGTGCCTGGAACAATCCTGCTGGCTTTAGCCACACAATGCATTTTATCCTGGCAACAGCTCTGCAGAGTGGGTACAGTTCCATCTCTTGTTTATAGAGCGAGACTGGAAGAAGCGTCCAGGCGAATAGCTTTGCCAGTTTTGCACACTCTCCTCAGAGGATAGATGTGCTTTCCGGAAGACCTGCCTTGTCTGTCAGCAGCCATTTTCCCCTCAGAGCTGCCGGGTTTGTTCTCCACAGTCAGTCTCTGTTCACTCACCTCCCACAATGACAATCCTCTCTCCCAGTACCACTGCGGGGGCACACACATTCTTGATCATCCTGGTCTCCATCTTAAACCACGTGTTTCTGGAAATGTGGTAAACCTGAGGGGGAAACAGAATCATGGGACCAAATTTTAAAGCTAAGGTCTTTAAAGGGGTCAAAAAGTAATTGTTTATTACATTTTTACAAGATTGAGAGAGAGAGAGAGACAAACAGACAGACTGAGAATTGTGTATTTGATGTTTGATGTAGTGGGATGTGTGTGTGTGTGTGTGTGTGTGTGTGTGTGCAAGCGTGGAGGTCAGAGGACAACTTTTGGGTTTCTGTTTTCTTCTTCCACTATGTGAGTTCCAGTACTTGAACTCAGGTCCACAGCCTTGGTGACAAGCACCTTTAACTGCTGAGCCATCTCAGTGGCCCATGTAGTCATTTACAGGGTGAATCAGAAATGGATTTGTTTCTCTCTATTTTTTTTCCAGGTTTTAAAGTGCAGGTGTTACCATCAATAAATAACTCTTGCTGAAAGAAGAATGTAGTGGAAGTTAGTCATGTGACCCCCATGAGCCAATGACTGTATTGGAAGTTAGTCATGTGACCCCCATGAGCCAATGACTGTATTTTCCTTAACCAGACCAAGAGTTCTGCCTTGGGGTAAGCATTTCACCTACCTTTTTGGGATATTTGATTATTTTACTGAGAAACGGAGCAACTTGGATACTTAGGAAGCCAATTATTTTTCCAATATTTTTTATTTCTAGATCATGTTTATATTTCTAAATGTCCCTGTGTAGCGAAGAGGGTCAGAGAACCAAGAATAAGTTTGAGGCTATGTAAGGAAAGCTTTGGAACAGTTTGTGCCTGAGAGGAATTAGGGTTTTGAGAAAGAAGAGAAGCAAGAGAAGAAGACAAATCAAAGAGAAGGCAGACTTATTAGCCATCCTCTGAGATGTGGATCAAATCACGATTCCTTTTTCTGTTGATTTCCCCAGTTTAAAATTCAAATACCAAATGTAAGCTCATTAGCCATAGGAAAGGTTTAGCACATGAGAGAAAGGATGAACTCCATGTAAGAAAAGGAGATGAAAACCTTTTTGTTTGCAGAAGAAAACGATAAAGTAGTTGTCACTGAAATTTTTCCATATAAAATATAATTTCTAGCTTCATCAAAGACCTATCTTACTATTTGATAACAGTTTGGGGCTGAGGATGACTGGCATGTATGAAGGCCTGTGTCAATCCCCAGAACCACATAAACTGGGTGTGGTTGGTGCCACCTGTGATCCTAGCAGCCAAGAGGTAGAGGCAGAAGATCAGAAGGTCATCCTTGGCTACATAGGGAGATCAGCCTGGGACCCATGAGACTGTATTTCTAAAATATCAAATAGGGGCTGGAGAGGTGGCTCAGTGGTTAAGAGAACTGGCTGCTCTTCCTGAGGTTCTGGATTCAGTTCCCAGCAGCTCACATGGTGGCTCACAGATGTCCTTAACTCTAGTTCTAGAGAATCACATGCCCTCTTCTGACCTCCAGGGCCACAGCATGCATGTGATGCCCTGATATATATATATATATATATATAT